AACTTAGACCAATACCTCATAATTGTCATATTGTCACTGTGCTGTGGTGAAACAGAACTGACTGACCAAAAATACCCTTTGAAGAAATCAACTTCAACTGTAACTTTACAGTCGATTGTAGGCCTGATACTTTACTATTTTGGTTAGTTGTGGCCACTCCTAACTACTCAAAACTCATAAAACCGCTCAATAAGACAGATCAAACTTCATTTAAAGACAACAGCAAACTCAAATACACACTTTCACGGCAATATCATGAACATTATGATTGAAACTCTTTGCAATATACGTTAGGTAAACAACAACAATACAGTAGCACACCTATCCGTTTAACAACACTATGAAAGGCATATAGAATGATTTTTATACTACTAAAATGTGAGAGGGGTAATATCGCATGTTCATAAGGACAAAACTTACATTAAACACAGTAAACAGGCAAATGTTTTTCACATATCCAATCCTCGCTCTTTTCCTGCGTCTCCCGCACGCGAATCTGCCAACACTGTGCCGTCTTGTCTTATGAATATTAATTACGTAATGTGACGTTTTCTCGGTTGACCTAACTGATTGGCTGAAAAGGGCTGGTTCTATTTTGAATATTCATTGCGTTATACTGGACCCCATAGAAAGGTTGAAAAGCAACTTTTCTATGACCAAATTAATATTAATAAGCAAAGCGTGTCTCTCCAGTTACGTGTCCACTGCAATAGCGGGAAAAAAAGACAAATGTTTAAAACCATCAGGTCTGCCGCTTGGGGGCGCGCGGCCATAACCAGCTCATAAGAACAGACATGCATAAAAATGACTTTTATTAAAACAATCTATTTGAAACCTAACCTCAATTTAGCTGTTTAGAGTAGCAGGTTATGTCAGATTATTTGCACCCATGGCAGAGCAATAGACGAGAGAAATACTCACTAGCCTGATATTGTAAAATGTCCCCATGGTGTTTATATTATTGAATTCACAGAATTGTTTTACTTTTTTTATTATTTTAAAACACACAGGGTACATTTATAAAGTCAGAACACAACCCTATGACTTAGTAATCCATCTTTTGCTTTATATGTTCCTGATTTATATGATTTATGTGATCAGTCAATCCACAGATAAAGATAGGAATGAACATGATTCTTACCTGCTCACCTCAGATTAGGCAGAATACAGTATAAGTATCATGACATGAGTGCATTAACCTCTAGACACACTTTATAATGTCAGTGAATTATTCAGAAATCACTCTGCTTGGCATTGTTCATCAGACATTTCATCTTCAAGAAATGAAGACAACAATTGCAACCAAAGACAAAAAGCAAAATGAGTCGGGTCAGGTGGAAATCACATTCGCGTAAGCAAAGGCAGAGTAATGTATTACAAAATGTTTATTTTAACATATTTTAATACTACACGGAATCATGTGCTTGAACTTGGTACAAAAAATACTAAACACACTATCAAATATTAAAATAAATCTATGTATAAAAATATTCTGCTACAGTTAGAAAAAGGTCTACATTTAAGATCATATCTCACACAAATTTATCAGAAGAATGAGGCAGAATATCATTAATCTTGTCATATATACAGTAACACCATCTCAGAAGTCAATGTGCATCAACAAACATCTCACAGGGAATGAAAATGTAGGTTAGAACATGTTTCATAGAAAAATATCTGTGAAAAAGAGAAACAAGAGAAGACCATATTAATATTATATACATTCAACTCTGGATCCACTTTGGAGCTTACTCTAGCCAGGAACATACACCTAACCCTTGAAATAGAGAAGTCACAATACAGTTACGGTGAAATTCAACATTACTCAATACCTGTTTTGGTACAAAAAAAAATAATGCTGATCGCTTTAATAAATATTGTTGTAAGTGCTCCAAGCACTTTTAAAGAAAAGTCAGCGATAATAAGAACAAAGACGAGAAAAAAAAAAAAAGTACATATTTTAACAAATGACATACCTGACTCCTGAGTGTCATTGATTGTCATTTTTGTATAAAAACAATATACGCTATTAGTAAAATATATAAATGCATACAAATACACAAGATTGAAAGTATATGAACATAATTTTTGAGTCACTTCAAGTACTTGAGTCCCTAGAATTCAGCATAGTTTGGCAACAATAAACAACATACCACAGTGTCAATGGTCAAGCATCAAGACAGAAATATACATCCAGCCCTAACCATGATAATGTGCAACAGTCTCTGCTGCTAATAGTTATGCAGACAAAAAATGGCATGTTAGCCAGTCTTGCCATCAGAAATCTTTCATACTAAGAAAACCTCCTGCCCAATGAGTAAAGTTCAGTCAGATCTTTTAAAAAGTGCAGTTCACTTTTTAAAAGATCTGTCTAAACTGCTCTTATTAACGGCTATGCTGCGAGATTATCTCTTCTTACTCCTCACTCTTCTCAGCTTTTCCCAGAGTTTCCATTTCATGGGATTCTCCAATCATCTGGTTCAGATCTATACTGGTATGCTTTGTAGCAGGAGTCCCTTTAGAATCTTGTGACTTCTGCAATTAGAAGAAAATATATGTTTTAAACAGTATCTACATCTATCTACATCTTTCTGCTTTTGGATAATTGATGACATACATTTTTACTTCGTCCACTTCAAATGTCAGCGCATTCAAAAAACAGTGTATTAACGTAACCCAATTCTTATGAAATCATAAATGCTCACCTGAGAGTCTGTGCTGAGTTCCAGTTTGCTATTATAGCGTGCAGCAATTGATAAAACCAGCAGTGCTACAGTAAAGAGCCACTCAGACGGAAAGACAATGATTCGCAAATCTCCCAGCAGACGTACACCATGAACTGTGGAAGGAGATTCATTTTCAACAAACAGTATGTTTTGATCCTGCGTGACTTTATGAATCTCATTCAAATGTTTTGTTCACTCACCTGCTTTCATTATCAGTTCTGTCATCAGTGCAGCAGAGTTCACTAAAACAAGACCAGCTGATCCATACAGGAACAACATTTTCCTTATACGAAGCTCTGTAGGGCAGAGTTAAAGATTTTTGTTAAACAAAAAAAATTGTACTGATTTACATTAAACATTTATTATTATTATTATGATTGTATGCTGTTTAAAAATCAGAACTAGTGATGCCAATGAATCCTTCATGAATTATACGGAATTGTACTATGGTCTAAACTGATTCACGATTCAGTTCGATTCATTTGGTCTGAATCATTTGAAGCAGTTCTAAATTCATTGTTGGGATACTTAGAGAGAACACTGGATAAATAAACTCAAATTTGTTTTGGGGGAAGGGGGGTGCAGTTCATTAAGGAATTGTGAATGAGTGAACGAGTTAACGATTTTAGACACAGCAACAGTTTTCTGATTGGCTTTAGTATAATAATCCCCAGCAGAATCACAACACTCATCCAGACCTTAAGATTTGTGCATGAGAATGAAACAGGAGGACTGACATGAACAACAGATGAACAAGAAAGAAGCTGATCGGTACTTTACTCTGATAATAGACTGGGACTTCAGAAAATTCAAGCACCCACAAGGCTTGAACAAATCCTGCCAGACAGACAGGTCCTGCATCAGCTGTAAATGAAAGAAAAGGTCTTTATTAAAAAGCAGAAAAGTCTTATTTATTGCTCATGTTTATTAGAAAGAGACCTACAAATTATTTTATATTCAACAGACAATGTTAAAAATGAACTTTTAGCAAGATAAATGTACACTTACATATTTGTAATTTGTAAACAGTGTTTTAATATCTTTAATTATTAGAGATATATTCATACCTTCATTATTTCTCGAGAGCATAATGTAAAAATACACCATTACCCCAGTCATCACAATCATCATTGACCATATTAATATATATAGAAAACGTTGACCTGAAAAGATGAAAGAAACAGTGAAAACATGCTACAACTCATTCCATTGAGGACCACCACTTGAGAAACTTTTATTGATGGTAAAGAGAAACAAAACCAGCTCTGACACTTTTATGTGTACATTCAAAAAAAATTTTTTTTTAATTACAGTAAATGTGATATTTTTATCCTTTATGAAATGTATCAATCTACTGATTTATTTTTGCAGTCATAACAGAGCAGAATATAATTTCTCATACTTACAGCGTTGATCTGCAATTTTTGTTCCATTACAAAATAAGTAAGACACCCAATGAAGTGCTGGAAGAGCCGTAATGATGAACACTAAAAAAGAGAGAGGCACTTAGAGTAAAGAATTAAATTGTCACAATAACTGCATGACTGGCTTCTTCTTTCATTTCTATTTATGGTGAAGTATGTGTAAGAAGCAGACAAATGTTCCTCAAGCATGTCAGTTAATTCTCAATCAGTCTTTGCTCAAGTCTAACATGTTATTGCTTACCTGCTTTGGAGGCAAAATGAGTGTAGAGCAGAAGGGCGAGCTGTAATGAAGGCAGCCATGAAAAGCCACAAGTGGCCACAAACCGTTGAACTATACTGTATATCCTTCTGCTCGACTCTCCAGAGCATGACAGCAACTTCTCTTTAGCTAATTCTATTAAAAAACAAAATGATAAAAACAAATATGTGAATTCAATAATTTACTGCATATCACCAATAAGCAAATGTCCTAAATGTCCATCATTTGAATTTCAGTTTTTAAATAATCTTCTATGGACATAAATCATCAAAAACAATGCTGTGAATGAACTTTTTTGGTCATAAGTGGTTGTGTAAATGATGGTAAAATTAATTAAAAATATTTAAAAAAGGTGAAATATAAGTTTCCTTTATAAAAATGCTGTTTGTAAAAAAAAAAATTTAAAAAAATGGTTAAAGGGGTCATATGATGTTGCTAAAAAGAACCGTATTTTGTGTATTTGGTGTAATGAAATGTGTTTTCCCTTTAGTTTAATGTATAGATATAACAAATCTCAGTAGACACAGGTATTATGTAATATCTGATTCGCAGAGTGTTACACAGCATTTTATTTAAAAAACCAACCTGGCAAATCTGTGGCTAATGGTTTAACCCAAAACAACCTCAGAGGCCCCAGAATATAGAGCATGCAGCAAGAGACGGTCTCATACAAAGAACCTGAAACACATTATTTTGGTGATGAAAAAGAACTCAGAAATGTACAAATATAATTGGTATAACCATTTATGTACAAATATAATTGGTATAAATCAATTATCTCTTAAGTTCAGTTCTTTAGACAGAACTGAATTAAGTTGTAAAGTCTATGCTGGATTTACTGTAGATAAAGTCCTGATGAAATACCTTCAATAACACACCATATGATTGAAGCCAACAGCATAGTTATATCCAGGCAAAGGAAAAGACAAACTTGAAGACACAGCCTTTTTTCTACAGTGAAGATACATATGGATTCCAGTTAGAAATTAAAATTATTCATAAATAATAGTAATAATAATATTAATAATAATAACGAATGCATTTTTGAAGCCTATTTCTCCAAAAAAAAAAATTAAATCACACCTTGATTTCCTGTTCTGGAGTAAACAAGCCAGGAGAGAAGTGCACATCCAGATGCAACAATACAGAGAATCAACGCAGTTATGTGTAGCCAAGAGAAACCTGTGATACAAACATCAGATACACAATAGCGTAAGTTGACACTAAACAGCTAAATGGAACCCAGGTACTGAATTCTGGATAATATATTTAGATTTTAGCTCTAGAAAACAAGGTTTGATTAGGGTTCTATGTAGAATGTTCTCTACTCAACTAAACAGGACATTTTGTGTCAAAAAAGGTGCTACAAAAAGAAAAACGCAACAAAGAACCTTTCTGGCATAAAGAGGTCTACATCAGTGTAAAAACCAACCTGGCAAATCTGTGGCTAATGGTTTAACCCAAAACAACCTCAGAGGCCCCAGAATATAGAGCATGCAGCAAGAGACGGTCTCATACAAAGAACCTGAAACACATTATTTTGGTGATGAAAAAGAACTCAGAAATGTACAAATATAATTGGTATAACCATTTATGTACAAATATAATTGGTATAAATCAATTATCTCTTAAGTTCAGTTCTTTAGACAGAACTGAATTAAGTTGTAAAGTCTATGCTGGATTTACTGTAGATAAAGTCCTGATGAAATACCTTCAATAACACACCATATGATTGAAGCCAACAGCATAGTTATATCCGGGCAAAGGAAAAGACAAACTTTAAGACACAGCCTTTTTTCTACAGTGAAGATACATATGGATTCCAGTTAGAAATTAAAATTATTCATAAATAATAGTAATAATAATATTAATAATAATAACGAATGCATTTTTGAAGCCTATTTCTCCAAAAAAAAAAATTAAATCACACCTTGATTTCCTGTTCTGGAGTAAACAAGCCAGGAGAGAAGTGCAGATCCAGATGCAACAATACAGAGAATCAACGCAGTTATGTGTAGCCAAGAGAAACCTGTGATACAAACATCAGATACACAATAGCGTAAGTTGACACTAAACAGCTAAATGGAACCCAGGTACTGAATTCTGGATAATATATTTAGATTTTAGCTCTAGAAAACAAGGTTTGATTAGGGTTCTATGTAGAATGTTCTCTACTCAACTAAACAGGACATTTTGTGTCAAAAAAGGTGCTACAAAAAGAAAAACGCAACAAAGAACCTTTCTGGCATAAAGAGGTCTACATCAGTGTTTCTCAATTATTTTTTTCCCTTCAGGACACAGGTTTACATTCATCTTTTTGTGCATTTATCAAGTGATACAACACAGTTTCCAATATTATTGATTGTACAAATATAAACAAAAAATAGACTCTCAATAAAATCATTAATTAAAATGAAAAATGTAAATCAAATGAACTTTTTTTAATATTATCACAAAATGCATAGGCCCATCAATTTAACAAAAACAAAATCCATTACCATGTTTGGAAGTTAGAAACCTTGAAAGTTTCTATATACATTAGGTTACAAAGTAGAGTTGCTCTTTCTAAATAATATTTTATATGGAACTCTTTAGTGGTTCCTGTACTATAAACTTTGTGATTGATCCCTTTAGATTTATGTATAAACATTTCTTCAAAGAGTATAAAAATGTTAAAAGCACAAGTTTGCCAGGTTCACATTGTTTTCTTAGTTATCTGTTACTCACCCAGTTGCACCAGTACCACAGTTGTGTTCACTGAAAGTCCTCCAGCAAACACTAAACACATGTAAACTCCTTTATCCTCAGTTCTGACACTCTTCAGTCTGAGAGAGAAGTTTCCTTTGGGGATCTCAGCAGTGAAGAACTCAACTCTGTCTCTGTCTCGCTCATCTGATGAATCTGAGAAAGTCTCATTGTTTTGGAAGAGCAGAATATCTTCATCTCTTTTTTTCCATGAAACCTCCATGTCTTCAGGTTTGATGTGAGAGTCTACAGAGCAGTTCAGAGTGACGTCCTCACCATCATATGCAGATACAGACTCATCTGAGCCTGATACTAGCAAACGCTCTGAAAAAAAGAACAGTTGAAATATTACAGAACTAGTTTTTGTTTTAAACTCTGATGTAGGACTGAAATGTTTCACTCACCAACATCTTTTATTTCAACTAAAGTTTTGTCAGCAAGCTGTTGACTGTAAACTTTACATCTGTAAACCCCTTTGTCTTCAGCTCTCACATTTTCCAGACGGAGGGAGAAGTTTCCATGTTGGATCTGATCAGTAAAGAAATAAGCTCTATCATGATATTCCTGCTGCTGGGCCTCAGGTCGACTCTCACCATCTTGATACAGATGAACCAGAGCCTCTGAGTCTGTTCTTTTCCACACAACTTTCACTTTCTCTGCTGCTAAAGGCCTCTCAACATAACAGGGCAAAATGACTGAACCTCCCAGAGGTACCACCAGAGGACCAGAGGGACCTCGAACACTGAACCCCAGGGTATCTGCATGTTTGAGAGAGAGAAATAAATATAATTATTGTTATAAAATTGCTAAATATAAATGATTACATTTATTGTTTTATAATATTAATTTAAGAAATACTAGGCCAAAATTGCTGGGCATTTAAGACAAATATTTTAAGTGGTTTTTTTATTCTATCCTTGGCAGAGGGAATGCATCTCGGGTGCCGCAGGAGTTGAGCTTCCTGTAGTCGATACACAATCGGAGTGACCCATCCTTCTTGGTCATATTTTATGCTCGAGCCCCTCAGAAAACAAAAGGCGTCTTGAACTCACAACAGCAAAACAAGTCACTCACGAGTTGTACCACAAACCGGAAATGTAAACGTAGGGACCTTTAAAGCGTTTAAAAGTTTAAATGTCCTCTTGAATGATGAAAGGTTAATAAACGGCACGTGATTGCCATTGTAATTACATTTAGTCTTTAAATGCCATATAATTGTAAAGAGTGTGATGAAAAATTAAGTCTGTTTTACTTTCTGTAGCATTAAACAGGCTATAAACAAATAATAGGCTACATACCATCAGATATTACGAAGATGAGCATCAAAACACAGTGCAGAAAATGCATCATAAAACGTTTTCTGATGAAACTCTCATTATTTCTGGTGTAAATGATAAACAAACGAGCAATTTCAGATGGATCTCAGTGCAACCGTTCTACTTTCGTTTTTGAGTTTTTCTTATGCAATGCTGATCACCTGACGTACACTCAGTGTTGCCAACTAATTTTCAGGGGAAGTTCTTTAAATGTGTGCCTTTTTTATCGTTTGAGTCACTTATCAAAAGTTGCTAAATGTTGCCAAATACATTTAAAAAAATAGCTAAATTTGTTGCTAGGTGCTTTTGGAAGAAAAAGTTGCTAGGGTAGTCTGAAATGTTGCTAAATCTAGCAACAAAATTGCTAAGTTGGCAACACTGAGTGTGGTGCTAAATGGGTGCAGCCTAAATGAGTGTGTGGCGTGATCGAGAGGAAATATAAAGTTAGAGAACAGATCTGACATTTTTAAGATTTTAGCAAGATTAAAATCTCCTTAAAATTGTATTCAGTTAGATTTAAAGTACTTTAAGCTATTAGCACAAAAGAAATATAAATATAATTATTGATATTGTGTGTATATCTGTGATGTAATTATACTGATAAAGTCATCATTACAAACAGTAACTCATAATATAGATTAAAGCAGCACTATGTAACTCAGTCTACATTTCAATTTGCACATAATATACCTGTAGGCTACATACAACTGTCTATTGTTCTATACCTGTACATACAATTGTCGATTTGTATATTTTTTATTCCTTATTTTACTTGTTCTATTTTTTATTTATTTTTATTTTTTATTATCTGTGTTTTTTTG